AATTACGAAATACGATTTAAAATGCTAAAGCTATTGCAACTTTGCTAAATGTATTTGATACTTTCGCTATAGCAAATGCAATTAAAAAATTAATTAGTACGACGGCTTAGCTTATAGCGATTATATAGCGCCGGCGAAGTGCGCGAATTATTATAGCCCTTTCGAAGCCGAATATTAAAACTGCTTTGCTACTTCGCATAAAAAAAACGGCAAATTAATACGGCTTATAAAAAAAAAGCTCGCGGCTATCCGACGAATTAACGTTAAAAATTATAAAGAAAAATACGCACGTAATAATATTTTATACTTTACTTTCGCAGCTCTTATAAGCAGCGTTACCACCACTATTATTATTAATAGCAGCACCTTTAATACAAATACTTCGGCATATTTATTACGCTAAATATAAAGCTCGAAAGCAATTAATATTATAAATATCGATACGGCGAAAGCTTTAGCAACGCATAAGCGCGTCGCAAAATAAAAAATAACGAAATACGAACGCATAACTCCGATTTTTATCTTTACTTTTAATAGTCGCTTAAAAGCTTAAAAAAGCTATAAAGTAATTAAGCAAAAACTTAAAATCAAGCTTAAGATCTTACTTTTAGCGAACGCGAACGCGGACTCGAAAAACGAATTTACTTTTTAATTTACTTAATAAATAATATACCGATACGAATCGGCCACAGCTATACGATACGATTTAAGCTCGATATATACGTCGGATAAGCTAATATAAGACGCTTTATACTTAATTACTAGATCATACTCTTTTTAGCGTACAAGTATAAAATAAATATAATATGCGTACAAAAACTAATTATTTATTTTAATATAAAAATATAAATACATTTCGCTTTTAATATTTACTTTTTAATAAACTTATAAAAAACTTCGAAAAACAATCTCGAAGCCGAAAAGCTTCGAGTCTTTATATATATTCGTAAAAAAGCTAGACTTTATATAAAGCAGCGACGACCGGTCTAAAGCAAAGATATGCTTTAAATCGACGTTAATAAATATATTATTTTTAACGCTTATAAATAATCGACTATTAATAAAGTTATCGATTACGTTTTACACTTTACCTTTAATCATAAGTGCTTAATAAAAAAGGACTTTAATATATAATACGAAATATTTAAACTTAAAGTTCGGACCGCTTATCGAAGAAAATATTTTACGAATTAATTTATAACGAGCGGCATAAACTTTATCGGCGTGCTAAAAGAACTTATATATCAGCTCGGCTACGTTTTAAACTTTATTTTTTTAAATATACCGCACGCTATTACGATAGTAAAAAAAGACTTGCATAGCACTTTAAATTATTAAACCTTAATTATTACGATCTCGAAAAAAAAAGCGCGTGCTAATAGATTAATTTTATAAAAAAATAGCGAATAAAAATATAAACAAATTCGAAGACTTTATACGCAACGGCATAAACACTTTCTTTAATCCTTCGAGTTTCTATAATTCCGCATAAATTAAAAAAAGTATTTTAGCTTTCGCAAAGATCTTTAAAAATGCAATTAAAGCCGTCGGTATACTTTGTCGAGATATAAGCAAAATAGCTTTTTAATAGACTTCGAAAGTTAAACGGGCTTATTACGAATATATCAAAGCGCGCTAAAACTTTATCGACCGTATTTTAACGAACGAGATTAAGCATTTCCGTAACGTTATACGCAAAGCTAAAAAAGATTATTAAATGCAAGTATTAAACGGAATTACAAACGATAAAAACTTATACAAAATAGTCGGCTAGCATAAGCTAATTATTAACTTTAAATTCCTTTTTTTTATATATAAAAAGATTATCGTGTAAAATATTAAAAAAAAAGCAGACTTATTACGACGAATTATATTCGGCCGATTTAATGCTAAAGATAATCTTTCGAAAGAACTTTAATACGACGGCATAAAGCATTTGCCGTAAGACTTAACCGTTATCTTCGAAAAAATAAAACGAAGCATTATAAAAATAACTAGTACTTCGCTAAATATAAACCGGATTATTATTAAGCTTTTGAAAAAGGTCTAGCAGCATATTCGATATTATATCTACGCTTTGCTTAATGCTTGCTTTCGGCATAGCTTCTTTTTAATTTATTAAAAACTAACGGAAGTAGTTATAATGCTTAAAATAAGCAAGAAAAATAAAATCTCGGTGCGCTCGTAGCGATTTATAGCTTTTCTTTTATATATATTTAAAAACTTAAAGCGCATTATCGCTAAGCGAATTGCTTAGACCTTTTTAACTTTAAGCATTTTAAGCCTTTAATACGGCGAAGCTTTATTTAAGCGATTTGCTATAGATTTCGTAGCTTGCTTTACTTACGATATTAAAGCAGCTTTTTTAATAAGCAAAATTATCACGATAATAATATTAAACGTTTAAAAGGCCTTCGACGTTCTGCTTAAGCGACGGCTTTTCAAGCGTATAAATAAGCAAGGCTGGCCTTTTCTTTTCTTAAAGCTTATTCATTTTTTTTTAACGACCGATAAGTTTAAATACGCTTTGAAAATATAATTACGAATCGCTACGACGTAAAATGCAGCATATTTTAAAAATCACCGTTATCTTTCGTTTTATATATATTATACTTCGCGGAACTTCTTAATCAAGATACGATATTACGATTTAAATACGCTAATAACATTTGCATTTATAAAGCGTTATACTTATTTATATTTAATATCACCTTTTTCGCTACGGATATTTAAAATATCTTAGCTTACGAAGCAAAGAATTAGATTTTCTTCGCTTTAAAAAAAATAAAAATGATTTACTTTCTTTATAAAAACGAAAACTTTGCTTTAAATATAATTATCTTATAGCTAAATAAAACTAATATTACTTTAAGCCTTTAAGCGTAGCTTTCGACGATAAAAGCTACTTCGAAGCTATATTAGCTTAAAATATAATTTAATCGGAAAATGATTTTCAAACGCTATTTATTTGAAAAAGTTAAAAAAGCACGACGGATAATATTTTATATTAAAAGCTTCGCTCGCATAGCGGACGGTCTTTCCGCTTACGCGTTACGTAAAGCAATAATCACTTGCGTATTACTATCGATCTTATATAGCATCGAAACCTAATATAAAAAACGAACGAAGCTTTTACGATACTTAATTAAAAATAATTTAAATAAAAAAGTTAACGCAAGCTTAAAAAGATATATCGATACGATTAATAAAATTATTGCTTACGCAACGAAAGATATCTTTTTTACTTAACGCACGGCTTTAATTATTACCTTTTTAAAAAACGCCGGACTCTTTTCCGAAGAAATAATACTCGAAGAGACTAAAGTACGGCAAGCATTGCGGCTACGAATAATTAACGAGGCTTATTCGATAATAAAGCGCATCTTTTCTTTTATAATTATTAAAAGTCTTGCTATAAGCTTTCGATAACGGATTAAAACAAAACTATAAAAACTAAAAGCTATGCTTTTCTTTTGCTTACGATTAAAGCTAGCTCACTTTCACTTCTCAATTAAGTGCCGCACGGACTTTATTTAAAGCATTAAAAAAAAGCAAGCCGTTAAAGATTTTAAAAAATAATAAGCTTAATTTATCGATCGAAATATCACTTTTTTCTTAAACGGCTTAAAGCAATATAAAGACGGGCATAAATACGTCGAATACGGATACGCTATTTATTAAAAACAAAAAGAATTATTATAAGCAAAAAAGCTATTAATAACTTATCGCACGTTTTTAACGCGAAAGTAATAAAAGCTTAAAAAGCGCTCGAGCACGCGATTCGGCCTTTACTAAACCTTACTTATTACCGCATATAGCTATGCATAAATAGCACGTCCGTAATTTAATACATACGGAGCATTGCTTCGGCTACCTTTTAATAAGCGTTTTTACGTATTTAAAAAGTGATAAAACAATTAAAGATTAGCGTTAAATAAGCTTTAAAACACACCGGCATTACTAGTAACGAAACGGCGGATCGGCTCGCTAACGAAAGAGCAAAGCTTAAGCTTGCATTAAGACTTATTTCCGAGCTTACGGCGTCCGAAATCAAGTCTATTATTAAAACTTTAATCGATTAAGCACGAGATAAATAATAAAGTGCGAGCAAAGCGAAGCTTTTTATTTAATATCGCAATTAAAGTTTCGAGTACGCAAATAAAGCCTCGTTAAAACTATACTTGCTTAAATACGTATTGCATAAATTACTCGCGTTCCGAACTTAATATAAAAACTTTACGTAGTATTACCGGAAGTATCGTTACGAAAACGCGAAAACTATTTGCTTTTATTAAAAAAATAAATCCTCGATATACATTGCTCTTTATGTCGGTATCTCTATATCGACCTTAGCTAGCTAGTAGTAGTAGTAGTAGTAGTTGGGGAAGCTCACCCGTGAACCATGGTTCACGGGCCACTTGGCATGCTTCGCTTAGCATGTCCGCAGTCAAGGGACCCTCAACTTGACAAGTAAATTTATTAGCTAGCTAGTGCACGTGATTCCTTTTAATCGTATAGAAGGAATCAGCTCCCTTGAATCTTAGGGAGCAGACAGAATTCAGATACCTTATCAACCGAGTGTTTTGCAATTGCAAGTATTTTGACGACCGTTACGACCTTACGAATATATATTCTTAATCGCTTGGAAGCAATCCAACACTGATCAGTGGTTGATTTACTATTAAGTGATCAATCATAGAGAAGCTAGGACTCTATAGCGAGGATACCTTTTATTACGATACCTCCCTCTTTTTACAACGGAAGAGCGATTCCGTACCAAGTCGCTTTCTTATACCTCGATACCTTTCCTTTACAACGGAAGAGCGATTCCGTACTAAGTCGCTTGCTTATACCACCGATTTTTCCCTATTCTTACGGAAGAGTGATTCCGAACCAAGTCACTTTTAAAAACAACAACCTTTAACGCTGTAAGAGCCGCGCTTGCTATATATAGCAAACCTAACCAACAAGATCGATTTACGTACGAGCAGATAGCAATTATGGCCGATCGAGCAACTGGACCTCCGGGTGGGGAGTCCAGCCGACAAGGAGCAATGGGGTATTATACCCTTCGAGTCTTATCACTACTTACGGAACCCTTAGCTATTTAGCTAAAACAAACCTTATACTTAGGACTTTTAAGCCTTTCGGAAGGGCCAGATGACGAGATGTCGAGCATTTTATTTGACTTAAACGAGCTGCTATACGCAAGGCTAGATAGTGAGATCACGGCCCGAGCGATGGTAAGGGACTTCTTGGATGCGAAGTGTAAAGGGCTGAGGGATTACGACTTGTGGAGTCTATTCCGGCACGCGTTCTTACGCTAGGATTGGACTAGTTTTACGATGACGGGGGATAATACGGGACGAAGCTTTAAGTATGCTACTTTTATTGGCTTTAGAGAACATTTGCTGTCCAAAGGCGTGTGGTGCTCCTTAAAGCAAAGGGGCTACGCTAATGGGATGGTCAAGCTCTTGAACGACGAGCGGCAGCACTAGTGGACCCTCGAGGAGATAAAGGAGCAACAGGCAACACCTTTAGGTCTTGATTCAAAGTGGACCGCCGAAAACCTTACGGACGACGAAGATATTATACCTTAACCACCTCTACTTTCGCGCAGTCTAAAAAGGAAGGAAAAGGAGGCCTTAGGCAGGAGGGAAGAAGGGGAGGAGATTCGGAGGTTACGCGAGGAGTTTTTAAAGGAAAGGAGCGATATGGAACGAAATATGGAGGCTATGACAAGGCAAATAGCGGAATTACGGACTTACGCTATATAATCTAACGAAGGGCTACGACGAAGTACTTCAGCGTACTCATCTTTAATTTATCAACCTCATTAATCGCTACGCAATACGCTAACTATATAAAAAGAGCCAAAATCACTTTAGCGACCTTTAAACCCTTTTTTTAAGGGCTATAGCCGAATTTTCGAAAAACTAGGACCGAGTAGCAATAAAAACGGTCTTGAGATCATTATCGGACTAGACAATAATCGAGGCTACGGGAGCTACACGCTAAAAGAGGACCCGCTAAAACCTGAAAGTATTCCGGACAAAATCAGCTCTTACTAAGGACAGCGTGCAGATTTCCGTGCTTAGCCTTAGCAACTCGAAAGGGGGATCTAGCACCTTCGGACGTACCGGCAAGCTACCTATATCTTTTAAGAGGCTACGTATCAATAAAAGAAAGACTAAAGGTATAGGAATCGCTAAAGGCAAGCTTAAGGATACGGATATTACTAAGCTAAAGCATTAGCCGGTGACCCGAATGACCTTAGCGATCTTAGCGATAATCGACGAAAAGGAAACGAGGGAGATTAGCAGAGAGATCGAGGACACGGATACGAAAGGGGTAAGAACGGTCTCTTTGGACTATTAAAAGGATTCGGAAACGGACTTCTAAAGGACTTCGGATCCGGAAATGAGCTTCTTAAGGACCTTGGAAGAGGACGGACTACCGGCAATTATATCGGTAACCTCGTACCGATCCGACTACTAGCTAAGCACGGCACGCTTGCGTACGGCACTTTAAGCGCCTTTGACGATGATAAAGACGATTTCCTTAAGCTAAGAGCAACGGACCTTCACTTAAGGGCAAAGGAGTTGGCTTTGTTTGCAAGAAGCTTTCTTAAGGAATTGAAGTATTCGAGACTCGACGATGACTTTAAGACTTAATTAGGTATTTTCGTTAATCAGGCAAGTCGGTACGGCTTGACATCCGACGATTATTTGGCAGCGTTCTTAATTATGCTTACGAAGGAGGTTATAATTTTTTATTATAATCATGTGATCAAGGCTAGGCTTCCGACGTTTAAAGCAAACGCTATTGCTGTGAGGGACCACTTCGAGACTGATTACCGGCGGCAAGCAAAATACGACCGCTAAAAGGAAATTTCGTTGGATTTGGTTAGGAAGGAGAATCTAGGGACCTCGCTTAGCGAGTGCTTTGAGAAGCTCGCTAAGGAGCTCAGGGGCATTTAGAGCTCTTTACGACTAGGTTTGAAGGATGATCGAAGTCTTGCTGACAAGCTGTATTTAGCTTGTAAAAACGTGCTAGAGATTACGATTGCACGAATGAATTTTGCTTTTACTTTTACCGCGGCAGTTGCTGATATTCGTCGAGCAATTGCGTTTGTTATTGAGACCTTTCGACCTTTCGTCAAGGCTAGAGCTTACGCGAGCTTTAGCGAGCTACACGATCACACCTGCTTTTAGCACGCTTTAGAGGCTGACTCCGATTTAGACGAGGAATACGAATGCTTTATTTAAGACCGCTAATACTTCGGAGGTAAGAAAGCTGCCAAGGCTATTGAAAGTGAGAAAAGGTGTTTTGTTTGCAAAAAGCCAAGTTGCTAAAGCATTAATTACACCTCCGACGAGAAGAAAGCATCCGTCGCTAAGTTCTAAAGCTTTAAGGACGCAAAAAAAGTGACGAGGAACAAATTCTTTTAGTACGTAGCGTCGATCGAAGGTTTGCCGCTTGTATTTACGGAAAAATTCGATCAGTTTATCGCAGGCCTACTAGACGAGCCGCTCGAATCGGGCAGCTACGCTAATATATCCGAAGGTTTTGTGACTACTTACGGCACTTTTGACGCTGACGAAGTATATAAGCAATTAAAGATTCAAACGGCATTCTACGCCTTTACTAGCTAAGTGGAGACTTAAAAGATGACCGAGCAAGATCCGCGTGTGCTCGCGGGCAAGGCAAAAACTTATATGGCTTTTAAGTACTTTGAAAACGTGTTTATAGGCTTTATGATTGATAGCGGAGCAGCCAATTTCTTTACCGCTGGCTTGCTTTAGCTACGAGTACTTTAAAAGAAGTACTCCGAAGTTTAATTAGATATATCCCGGGCAAGGGAGAAGTCCGTCAAATACGGTATCGGCTTTGCTACTTTTATTAAAGCAGTTACTCTAGATACTCTTTTAGGTCAAGTGGAGTTTTACGTTATAGAGAGCGACGTATCCTTTTTATTTTCATTAGCTAATATAGATAAGCACAAAGTGATCTTAGATAACTTGCGGAACGTGTTAGTCTAAAGAAAAAAGGAAATATTAATAGTAAAGATGTTTAGGCACGTGTGGATGCTATTGAATAAAGAGCACGCTGCTATTTATTATAGTATCGAAGGCGAGACCGTCTATTGCCACCTTACGGAAGAACAATTAAGGACTATCTATAAGCGTTTTGGCCACCCTTTAGCAGGTCGATTTGCTGCTGTTCTTAAAAGGGCCGGGCACGAATTTAGGCGAGATTCGCTTTACAACATCTAAAAGTTTTGCCATTATTGCTAAGTATTCGGACGCTCTTCGAAGAGGTTTAGTATCAGACTTAAGGACGATATTGATTTTAATAATACGGTATACGTAGACGTAATGCACTTTGACGGCAAGAACGTATTATACGTCGTTTGCGATTCTATTAATTTTTAAGCCGCTATCTTCTTTAAAAGCATGTTCGCATAGCACTTACTTAAAGGATTCAATCGATGTTAGGTCAATACTTACGTCGGACCTTTTACAAACGTAGTGCACGATCTCGGAACCAACTTTAATTCGGCAACGTTCCGAGGCTACTTTAAAAGTATTAGCAGCACTTTAAAGCAGATGCTTGTAGAAGCTTATTACAGCGTCGGGCTAGTAGAACGCTATTACGTCCTTGTGCGACGCGCTTTTGAGATCGTCATAAAAGAGCTTTTAAAAGCCTTAAGGGAAGACCGGCTTCAAATGGCTATCAAAGCTATTAACGACATAGCTGGACTTAATGGCCTGGTTCTTATACTCTTCGTTTTTGGGACTTTATCGAAGCTGACGGAGCAAGATCGACTTGCCGCGTTTATCTAAGAGCGTGCTGTTGCTATTAACAAGGCTATAAAGGAAGTACGAAAATGCCACGCTGCGAGGCAGGTTAAGGACGCGCTTAAGAGGAGGAATGGCCTAATTACGGAGCATACCTTAGACCTTTCTATTGGCTTACGGGTGCTGGTGTGGCGGGAAAACCAAGGGTGGAAGGGCCTTTTTTAGCTGCTTAGCAAGCAGGAGCATACGTGCATAATAGCTTGTCCGAGGCTTACGGAATTCAAGTCAACTTTAATAAAACCTTACTACTTTAAAGTTGAAAAGCTGCTAGAAGAGTTGCAAGTACTTAAGGTAAAGGTGGAAGAAGAGGTAAAAGAAGAGGTGGAAGATGATCAAAGCGAAAGCGAAAAAGAGCTAGAAATACGAAATTCGCTTAAACTTTAACATTCGCTTAATCTACCGAGGTCGCTTAATTTAAAAAGCTCGCTAAGACTAATAAACAGCTCTTTTAACCTTTAATTTGCTAATCTCTAGAAGTCAACAATACTAATAGTCTAGATACTTTACTAAAAGTACGATTTTAGTATTCCGACCGTGCTCGACGAAGAAGAAAGCGATTCTTACGTTTTATTTACTAAAGACTTCGAGGTGTTGATTACCGACAAAGAACGCCGGGACTATAAGCTCTTAGTTAAGTTACGAGCCGAAGGAATTATTAAAAGCCTCGAGGCACCATTTTAAGAGTCTAGAGCAAAGGAATTAGCTGGATTGATAGCTTAAAGCATCTTTTAAGTGATCTCGAGCACCGACCTACGCGTTAAAAGCGCTAGGATCTTCGGATCTAAGTTTATTAATAAGATCAAAGGCAAGAGAACACTTACGCTATACGAGAAGTCTCGTATAATAGTCTAAGCTTTTTAAGACAAAAGCAAAACGAAAGTATTTACCGAGTCATTTACGATGCAGCGAGCGGGCTAAAGACTTTGTTATGCTCTGGCTCCCTTTTTAATAAAAGACTACGAGTATTAGGTTTATAGCAAAGATATCACTTAAGCTTACACTTAGTTAAGCACGAAGCTTATCCGAATAATCGTCGTGCGACTACTTAAAGAAATCATTTATCGATTCCTTTCTAGCACTTTGTTCTTTATAACTGGCTTTTTGTATAAGATCCTCGAAGCAAGAACGCATTAGTATAAGCGTTTTTCAAAGCATTTCACGAACAACCTCGAGATAAAGCAATCGAGCTTTGATTCTTGCTTTTTTATATCAACTAATAAAGATCAGTTAAGAATAGCTGCTTTATAGACGGATAATGTTCTTATAGTTGTTAATCTAGCTATGAAAGCAAAAGAAGAAAAGGAGCTGGTCAAATCTAAGCTGAGGAGCAAGGAAATAGAGACCTTTATATACGCCGAGCTAATGATTTTCAATAGATGCAAGCTATCTTTAGATAAAGAAAGGTTCGGACTATCAGTTGGGCAAAAGAGGCAAGGTAAAAGGCTTGCAATGATCAAGCTCGATTCAGCTATACGGGTTAAAGAGTACTTAGAGCAACGTGCCCGAGGGGCGTATTTGGCTACTATTTGCTACTTAAAGGCATCTTGCGCTTTATCGATGGCCGCTTAGCATTAAGAACTAAGGGATAAAGATTATAAAGCCTTTAATAAGGTGATCCAGTGGCTGATCGATCACTTAACCCGAGGGATCTACTACGTGCCCTTGGACTTGAGGACGGCGAAGCTCTTTGTGTTCGTGGACGGAGCGTTTGCTAACAACGCTGACCTTAGCTCTTAGATCGGTTTCGTGGCTATCCTTGGCAATAAGGCTTACGTAAGTGAGAACGAGTTCACTTTGACGGATAACATCCTCTATTAAGTGTTATAGAAGTGCAAAAAGGTCATAAGGGCAATACTAGCTTTTAAGCTATACGCTATGTCTTTAGGTATCGATATGGCTATTGCTATGTCGACTACTTTTGCTTAAATCACAGCTTAGCTAAGGATCTTCAATTTCCTCGTAGTTGTGTGCATTGACTTTTACTCGCTTTACGAGTGTATAGTAAAGCTGGGGACTATTAAGGAGAAGCGCTTTATGATCGATATTATGGCTATTCGGGAGTCATACGAGAGGCGAGAGCTCTTTGAAGTACGCTGGATCGGAGGAAAATCCAACCTTGCTGACGCCATGACTAAAGTCGGGGCTAATACTTCTTTGCAAGAGCTAGTTTTGACTAATACCTTGAAGGTGCAAGTGGACGGGTGGGTAGAAAGGCCGCTGTAAGAGAAGGAAGGATAAGATTGTTTTTTTTTCTCTTTTGTTTAATTACTTTCCTTCTTTTTCGGTCGATATAGTAGTTGGCAAAGCACTGCTTGCCAAAGAGAGAGTTGCCGGTGTCGGTATCTCTATATCGACCTTAGCTAGCTAGTAGTAGTAGTAATAGTAGTTAAGGAAGCTCACCCGTGAACCATGGTTCACGGGCCACTTAGCATGCCTCGCTTAGCATGTCCGCAGTCAAGGGACCCTCAACTTGACAAGTAAATTTATTAGCTAGCTAGTGCACGTGATTCCTTCTAATCGTATAAAAGGAATCAGCTCCCCTGAATCTTGGGGAGCAGACAGAATTCAGATACCTTATCAACCGAGTGTTTTGCAATTGCAAGTACTTTGACGACCGTTACGACCTTACGAATATATATTCCTAATCGCTTAGAAGCAATCCAACACTGATCAGTGGTTGATTTACTACTAAGTGATCAATCACAGAGAAGCTAGGACTCTATAGCGAGGATACCTTTTACTACGATACCTCCTTCCTTTTACAACGGAAGAGCGATTCCGTACCAAGTCGCTTTCTTACACCTCGATACCTTTCCCTTATAACGGAAGAGCGATTCCGTACCAAGTCGCTTGCCTATACCACCGATTTTTCCTTATTCTTACGGAAGAGTGATTCCGAACCAAGTCACTTTCAAAAACAACAAACGTCAACGCTGTAAGAGCCGCGCCTGCTATATATAGCACCCTAACCAAATTTGGATCGACCTACATACCAACAGACAACAACTATGGCCGATCGAGCAACTGGACCTCCGGGTGGGGAGTCCAGCCGACAAGGAGCAGGGTATTATACCCCTCGAATTTCATCACCACCTACGGAACCCCCAGCTATTCAGCCAAAAGAAACACTATACCTAGGGCTCCCAAGCCTCTCGGAGGGACCAGACGATGAGATGTCGGGCATCTCATTTGACTTAAACGAGCTCCTATACGCAAGGCCCGACAGTGAGATTACGGCCCGAGCAATGGTGAGGGACTTCCTGGACGCGAAGTGTAGAGGGCTGAGGGATTACGACCTATGGAGCCTATTCCGGCACGCTTTCTCACGCTGGGATTGGACGAGTTTTACGATGACGGGGGACAATACGGGACGAGGCCTTAAGTTTGCTACCCTTATTGGCCTCAGGGAACACTTGCTGTCCAAAGGCGTGTGGTGCCCCTCAAAGCAAAGGGGCTACGCCAATAGGATGGTCAAGCTCTTGAACGATGAGCAGCAACACCAATGGACCCTCCAGGAAATAAAGGAGCAACAGGCAACACCCCTAGGCCTCGATTCAAGGTGGACCGTCGAAAACCTCACGGACGACGACGACGACGATATTACACCTCAACCACCTCTACCCTCGCGCAGTCCAAAAGGGAAGGAAAAGGAGACCTCAGGCAGGAAGGAAGAAAGGGAGGAGATCCGAAGGTTACGGGAGGAGTTTTTGAGGGAAAAGAGCGATATGGAACGAAGTATGGAGGCTATGGCAAGGCAAATGGCGGAATTACGAACTTACGCTATACAATCTAACGAAGAGCTACGACGAAGCACTTCAGCGTATTCGACACCCTCAATTCATCAATCGCTACGCAATACGCCAATCATACAAGAGCCAAAATCACCTTAGCGGCCCTTAAACCCCTTTCTCAAGAGCTACAACCGGGTTTCCTAAAAGCCAGGACCGAGTAGCAACAACAACGGCCCCGAAAACATAATCGGGCTTGACAATATGCGAGGCAATGGCAGCTACACGCTAAAGGAGGACCCGCCAAAACCTGAGAGCATTCCGGACAAAATCAGCTCTCACCAGGGACAGCGTGCAGATTTCCGTGCCCAACCTCAACAACCCGAGGGGGGGATCCAGCACCCTCGGACGTACCGGCAAGCTACCCACACCTCTCAAGAGGCCACGTATCAACAAGAGAGAGACTAGGGGTATGGGAATCGCCAAGAACGCGCCCAGGGGTACGGATATCACTAAGCTGGAGCCCTAGCTGGTGACCCGAATGGCCCTGGCGATCCTGACGATGACCGACGAAAGGGAAACGGGGGAGATTGGCAGGGAGATCGAGGCTACGGGTACGGAGGAGGTAGAAATGGGCCCCCTGGACCACCAAGGGGATTCGGAAACGGACCCTTAAGGGACCCCGGATTCGGAAATGAGCCTCTTAGGGACCCTGGAAGAGGACGGACCACCGGCAACTATATCGGTAATCCCTTACCGATCAGACCATTAGCCAGGCAAAGCACACTTGCGTACGGCACTCTAGGCGCCCCTGACGATGATGGTGACGATTTCCTTGAGCTAGGAGCAGCAGACCCTCACCCAAGAGCGAAGGAATTGGCCTTGTTCGCGCGAAGCTTTCCTAAGGAGCTGAAGTATTCAGGACCCGACGATGACTTCAGGACCTAATTGGGGATTTTTGCTGACCAGGCAAGTCGATACGGTTTGACCTCAGACGACTACTTGGCGGCGTTCCTTATCATGCTGACGGGGGAAGCTATAACCTTCTATTACAATCATGTGATCAAGGCTAGGCTTCTTACGTTCAAGGCGAACGCTATTGCTGTGAGAGACCACTTCGAGACTGACCACCGGCGGCAAGCAAAATACGACCGCTGGGAGGAAATTTCGCTGGATTTGGTCAGGAAGGAGAATCCAGGGACCTCGCTTAGCGAGTGCTTTGAGAAGCTCGCTAAGGAGCTCAGGGGCATTCAGGGCTCTCTACGACCAGGTTTGAGGGACGATCGAAGTCTTGCTAACAAGCTGTATTCAGCTTGTAAAAACGTGCCAGAGACTACGATTGCACGAATGAATCCTGCTTTTACCTCTACCGCGGCAGTTGCTGACATTCGTCGAGCAATTGCCTTTGCAACTGAGACCTCCCGACCTCCCGCCAAGGCTAGAGCTTACGCGAGCTCTAGCGAGCCACACGATCACACCTGCTCTCACAACACCTCAGAGGCTGACTCCGATTTGGACGAGGAATACGAATGTTTTATTCAAGACCGCTAATACTTCGGAGGTAAGAAAGCTGCCAAGGCTACTACTGAGGGTGAGAAAAGGTGTTTTGTTTGCAAGAAGCCAGGTTGCTGGAGCACTAACCACACCCTCGACGAGAGAAAGGCATCCGTCGCTAAGTTCCAGGCCTCTAAGGACGCAAAAAGGGTGACGAGAAGCAAATTCTCTTAATACGTGGCGTCGATCGAGGGCTTGCCACTTGTATCCACGGAAGAATTCGATCAGTTTATCGCAGGCTTACTAGACGAGCCGCTCGAATCGGGCAGCTACGCCAACATATCAGAAGGTTTTGTGACTACCTACGGCACCTTTGACGCTGACGAGGTATACAAACAGCTGGAGATTCAGACGGCATTCTACGCTTTTACTAGCCAAATCGAGACCCAAAACGTGCCCGCGGGCAAAGCAGAGACTTACATGGCCTCTAGGTACTCGGAAAACGTCTTCATGGGCCTTATGATCGACAGCGGAGCAGCCAATTTCTCTACCGCTGGCTTGCCCCAGCTACGAGCACTCCAAAAGAGGTACCTCGAGGTCCAATTAGATACATCCCGGGCAGGGGAGAAGTCCGTCAAATACGGCATCGGCTCTGCTACCTCTATTGGAGCAGTTACCCTACAAACACCCTTGGGTCAGGTGGAGTTCCACGTTGTGGAGAGCGACGTACCCTTCCTATTCTCATTGGCTGACATGGACAAGCACAAGGTGATCCTGGATAACTTGCGGAACGTGCTAGTCCAAGGGAAGAGGGAAATACCAGTGGTAAGGATGTTTGGGCACGTGTGGATGCTACTGAGTAAGGAGCACGCTGCTACCTACTATAGCACCGAGGGCGAGACCGTCTATTGCCACCTTACGGAAGAGCAATTGAGGACCATCCACAAGCGTTTTGGCCACCCTTCAGCAGGTCGATTTGCTGCTGTTCTCAAGAGGGCCGGGCACGAATTTAGGCGGGATTTGCTCTACAACATTCAAAAGTTTTGCCACCACTGCCAAGTATTCGGACGCTCCCCGGGGAGGTTTAGTATCAAGCTCAAAGATGATACTGACTTCAATGATACGGTATACGTGGACGTAATGCACCTTGACGGCAAGAACGTATTGCACGTCGTCTGCGATTCTACTAATTTTCAAGCCGCCACCTTCTTCAAAAGCATGTCCGCACAGCACTTACTTGAGGGATTCAGTCGATGTTGGGTCAATACCTACGTCGGACCTCTTACAAACGTCGTACACGATCCCGGAACCAACTTCAATTCGGTAACGTTCCGAGGCTACCTTAAAGGTATTGGCAGCACCCTAAAGCAGATGCCTGTGGAAGCCTATCACAGCGTCGGGCTAGTGGAACGCTACCACGTCCCTGTGCGACGCGCCTTTGAGATCGTCACAAAAGAGCTTCTAAAAGCCCCAAGGGAGGACCGGCTTCAAATGGCTATCAAAGCCATCAACGACACAGCTGGACCTAATAGCCTGGTTCCTACACTCCTCGTTTTTGGGACCTTACCGAGGCTGACGGAGCAAGATCGACTTGCCGCGTCTACCCAGGAGCGTGCTGCTGCTATCAACAAGGCTATGAGGGAAGTACGAAAATGCCACGCTGCGAGGCAGGTTAAGGACGCGCTCAAGAGGAGGAATGGCCCAATTACGGAGCATACCCTAGACCTCCCTATTGGCTCACGGGTGCTCGTGTGGCGGGAAAACTAAGGGTGGAAGGGCCCCTTTCAGCTGCTTGGCAGGCAAGGGCACACGTGCACAGTGGCTTGTCCGAGGCCTACGGAATTCAGGTCAACCTCAGTAAAACCTTACTACTCTGAAGTTGAAAAGCTGCCAGAGGAGTTGCAGGTACTTGAGGTAGAGGTGGAGGAAGAGGTGGAAGAAGATCAGAGCGAAGGCGAAAAAGAGCTGGAACTACGAAATTCGCCTAAACCTCAAAAGTCGCTTAATCCACCGAGGTCGCTTAATCTAAGAAGCTCGCCAAGATCAGCAAACAGCCCTCCTCAACTTGTCAATTCCCAGAAGTCAACAATACCAATGGTCTAGATACCTTACTAGAAGTACGATCCGAGTATCCCGACCGTGCTCGATAAGGAGGAGGACGATTCCTACGTGCTATTCACCAAGGACTCCGAAGTGTTGGTTACCGACAAAGAACGCCGGGACCATGAGCTCTCAGCCAAGCTACGAGCCGAGGGAGTCATCAAGAGCCCTGGGGCACCATTTCAAGAGTCTAGAGCAAAGGAATTGGCTGGATTAATAGCCCAAGGCATCCTCCAAGTGATCCCGGGCACCGACCTACGCGCTAAGGGCGCCAGGATCTTCGGATCTAGGTTTGTTGACGAGATCAAGGGCAAAGGAACACCTACGTTATACGAGAAGTCTCGTATAGTGGTCCAAGCCTTCTAGGATAAGGGCAAGACGAGGGTACTCACCGAGTCACTTACGGTGCAGCGGGCGGGCCAAAGACTCTGTTGTGCTCTGGCTCTTTCGCTGATAAAGGACTACGGGTGTCAGGTCTGTGGCAAGGATATCACTCAGGCTTACACTCAGTCAGGTACGAAGCTCATTCGAATAATCGTCGTGCGACCACTTAAGGAGATCACCTATCGATTCCCCCCCGGCACCTTGTTCCTTATGACTGGCCCTTTATACGGCATCCCCGAGGCAGGGACACACTGGTATAAGCGTTTTTCCGGGCACTTTACAAACAACCTCGGCATGAGGCAATCGAGCTTTGACTCTTGCCTTTTTGTGTCAACTAACAAAGATCAGCTAGGAATAGCTGCCTTACAGACGGATGATGTTCTTATGGTTGTCAATCCAGCTATGAGGGCAAAGGAAGAGAGGGAGCTGGTCAAATCCAAGCTAAGGAGCAAGGAAATAGAGACCCTTACACACGCCGAGCCGATGATTTTCAATGGATGCAAGCTATCCTTGGATAAGGACGGGTTCGGACTGTCAGTTGGGCAAAAGGGGCAGGGTGAGAGGCTTGCCGTAATCAAGCTCGATTCAGCTACGCGGGCTAAGGAGTACTTGGAGCAACGTGCCCGAGGGGCGTATTTAGCTACCATTTGCTACCCAGAGGCATCTTGCGCTCTATCGATGGCTGCCCAGCACCAGGAACCGAGGGACGAGGACTACAAGGCCCTCAATAAGGTGATCCAGTGGCTGATCGATCACCCAACTCGAGGGATCCACTACGTGCCCTTAGACCTGAGGACGGCGAAGCTCTTTGTGTTCGTGGATAGAGCGTTTGCTAATAACGCTGACCTTAGCTCCCAGATCGGTTTCGTAGCTATCCTTGGCAATGAGGCTCACGTAGGTGAGAACGAGTTCACTCTGACGGGTAACATCCTTCATTGGGTGTCATAGAAGTGCAAGAGGGTGACAAGGGCGGTGTTAGCCTCTGAGCTATACGCTATGTCCTTAGGTATCGATATGGCCATTGCTATGTCGACTACCTTTGCCCAAATCACAGCTCAGCTAAGGATCCTTAATTTCCTCGTGGTTGTGTGCACTGACTCTTACTCGCTTTACGAGTGTATAGTAAAGCTGGGAACTACCAAGGAGAAGCGCCTGATGATCGATATTATGGCTATTCGGGAGTCATACGAGAGGCGGGAGCTATCTGAGGTACGCTAGATCGGAGGAAAATCCAACCCTGCTGACGCCATGACTAAAGTCGGGACCAACACCTCTTTGCAAGAGTTAGTTTTGACCAATACCTTGAAGGTGCAGGTAGACGGGTGGGTGGAAAGACCGCTGTAAGAGAAAGGAGAGTGAGGTTTGGTGGAGTGAGATTGTTTTTCCTTTGTTTGATCACCTTCCTTCCTTTTTCGGTCGATATAGTAGTTGGCAAGGCACTGCTTGCTAAAGAGAGAGTTGCCGGTGTCGGTATATCTATATCGACCTTAGCTAGCTAGTAGTAGTAGTAGTAGTAGTTGGGGAAGCTCACCCGTGAACCATGGTTCACGGGCCACTTGGCATGCTTCGCTTAGCATGTCAGCAGTCAAGGGACCCTCAACTTGACAAGTAGACCTATTAGTTAGCTAGTGCACGTGATTCCTTCTAATCTTATAGAAGGAATCAGCTCCCTTGAATCTTGGGGAGCAGACAGAATTCAGATACTTTATCAACCGAGTGTTTTGCAATTGCAAGTACTTTGACGACCGTTACGACCTTACGAATATATATTCCCAATCGCTTGGAAGCAATCCAACAAATATTAAATAGAAAGATAAGATCGCTATTCTTAACGAAAGACTCTTAAAAAAGTTAAGATTAAAAGTCTTATTATATAGCTTATTGATTTTAGCTCTCGATAATATTAAAAGCGAATACGACGAGTTTAAAGAACGTATAAAGTTCGCCGACGAAAATCAGACTTAGAATTTCGTTTTGCAAAAAGAGCTCGAATCCGGAACTTTACTTATAAACTATAGTTCACGAGTAGAAGATGACTTAGCAATTAAGATAAGATCAAGTCAACCTTTTGCTTTTAAGACCTTTTTGCTTAGATTATTTATTGCGCGCTTTTCGCTATCATTAGCCTTGTCTTAAAGATCGACGTTATCTTTTGCTAATAAAGCCTCGAACGCTAAACTAATTGCTTCGATTATGTTTATCTTACGCAAGTCTATCGACGCGAGCTCTTTTGCAGCCTTTAGACTTAAAGTGCAACGCGACCTTCTCGAGAACTAGCTGCTATTAGCATTACTTGTTAAAGAAAAAAACAGCCTCGAGTACAAATTAGCTAAAGCTATATCGAACCGCTGCTTCGGACTCGTCGAGATTAAAGACTTTATAAGTATAGACGTAGCCTTTATCAACTTTTGCTAAGACTTTTATTAATCAGCTTTCGACCGCTTAAACTTAAACGAGAATATCGACAATGCTTTTTAAGTTGCCGCGGAATCAATTAAGAAAGCTATTAGCTAGATCCGCAAGCTTTTAAAAAACGAATTTTCTAATAACGCGATCTTACGACTCTTCGATCGTCGTAGCTAAATAAAAGTAAATAAAGAAAGAAGCAAAGTAGTGAACTACTTCTTGCTATCCGAGATCTTTAATTTAAGCTTTAACGACGACGATTGCGAATGCATAAAGATCTCTTAAAAAGTGAAGAACGTATTAAAATTTAAAGATAGATTTAAAGAACTCTTTAACTTAAACGTTTAGACGAAGCTCCGTTTCAGCTGCAAAGTCTTACCGTCCGCTACCGACTTATTAAAAAAAGTCTTTTGCGAAGTTTATATCTTCGAATACGTTAAATACTTTAAGCTAGCTACGAAAAGCTTTATAACAACGATAATCCGTTTTAACTTGTATCGATTCATCGAAGCCTTTTAAACTAACGCCTTTAATAACTTTATGCTTTACTCGAGCAACTAATCGATGTTCGCTACTAAGACCAAAAGCAATACTCTAGCTAAAAGAATATCTAGCTTAAGCTTTTTTAAGTTCAAAGCTAAGCCGATGTCCTTTAACAAGCTAGACTAGAGCACTAACTTGATAAGCACCGCTTAAAAGAACAGCTCTTTTAACACTTTAGATGCGGGTAGCTATACGAAAGTTTGGCTTATATTAAAAGCTTCTTTTTTAAACAACAAGTACGGCAACTAAACCTTCTTTACTATTATAAACAAAAAGATCTAGATGTACTTGCACCACTTTCGAACTAGTAACTTAAAAAGAGCTTCGATTGATGCACTTTCTAATATAATACACTTTTTGACTTAGCAAGTCCTTCGAAGTTATTATAAGCTATACTTGGCCGCTTTACTTAATCGCTAAGACGGAAACTACAAGCTTATTGCTTACCCGGAACCTCCTTAGCTTTTTAAATGCAACAATAGTGCTCGAGTGATTGCAATCAAGCACGACGCTAATACTAAACGACTCGTGAACCGTAGTTTACGAGTAAAAGATAGAGTTTTAAACTATTACTTAATGCTTTACGGCGTAAAGAGTTAAATCGGAAGCTTAGCTATTTAACTTAAGAGCTATACTTACGACACTACTTTTAGAAAGACCGCTAGATAAGAAGCTTTTAAACCTAAGTCGAAGACTTTAAATACCTTTAAGAATATTGCGCTACGCTAACCTCTCGTTATAGTTATAGATCTCGCTACTTTTATGTCCGTCATTACAAAACAAAGTGTTTTCTTAAACATAGACGCTTTTTAGAATTCCTTTTGCGGATAAGCTATCTTCTTTAACAACTACACCGCTTTGCTAAACGATAGCACTTTAAAGAATAGAGTTAGCTTTGTAAAGTACGCTTGCATTATCGTCTTAAAACGCATACCGCTAACCCTTCGGTAAAGAGTTATTAATAAATCAAGCTAGCCTTTCGCCGCTATAATCTAGCTAGACTACGTCAGTTTCGTATTAAAAGCCTTGATCGGAAGAATAAATTAGAACGAACCTCGAGTAGTAAAGGAATTGACTGCTATCTTTATTATGTCCCGGACCTAATTCTAAAAACACTTTATTAAGCATAAAAAGAAGTTGTTTTCGGCATTTAGAAAAGGATTTGCTATTGTCTTAAACGCTAAAGCTAAGACTTACGGAGCCAAGTCCTTTTCTAAAAGCAAAAGCCGCCGAGCTGACGACTTTATAAACGCCGACAAGTTAAAGGATTTTAAAAAGAGCTTGCGACCGATTGAGTTGTCTTTTAACGACTTCGATTTAAGTATAAAAATCAATCTAAAAAGTGCGAAATCTACTCGTAAACTACGGTTCACGAGCCAAATCGACGATTTTAAAGCATCATCTTCGCAGCCGGAATCCTTAAACCGCGCATTCGATAAGGTTATAAAAGCCTTAGCTAACTTGCTTAAAGACGAAGACGACCCGACCAGTAGCTTTAGACCTTACTTTAGCTTCGCTAACTTTTCGTCGGCCAAGTTCACACTTATCAACGATGCTACTAACAAGCGCAAGAACGACACACGCTCTTTCACCTTTAAGGATGCTGCTATTAGCACGTCATCGTCCAATGCTAGCCTTATCAAGAAAAAAAGACTTTCCTAGCTTAAAAAAAACGAAGGAGTTAAGGACGTAAGCACGAAAAAAGACTATAAAGAAGCTGCCGAAGCGTAGTTTTAGATGTTTAAAGTTTAGAGACAAGATACTCCCTTTTTTTGTACACTAGATTTTTTTTCTTTCTTCTACACCTTCTTTTTTCTTCTTGCTTGATAGTAAACGGGGGCGCTTACCTATTCTATAAAGAGACGGATGTAAACACCCTGCTTGATGGGGTACTTGCTATGGCCACTAAGGCCACACTAGACGGACCTATCTTCTATAAGAGGGCACACCTTTCTTAGCTAGAACAATCAACGAGCTTTCCACCCACCTTTTCTGACACCTTCTTTATAAGACCATAAGGTCTAGCCTTAGAGCCAGGCTTCTACTCGGCACATCTTTTTAGGTGCTTCTACACTAGCCTTCGAGATCTTCGGAATAATAGCTAGCGTAGACATAGCAATCGCTTTTAATACGACTTTAAATCAAATCACGGCACAACTCTCTTTACAAAAGATTTTAATAGTAGTATGTACCGACTCTTATTCACTTTACGAGTGCTTAGTAAAACTTGATACTACTAAAGAGAAAAGGTTGATGATGTGACGAACTGATGAATTCTGACCTTAGAATACAAAGTGAAGAGAAGAAACAAGAAGCTCGGGGAGCTCAAGAAGGTCTATATACATGGCCACAAGCGCTAGGCCTGGATGGATGATCAGCTGACTGCAGGTAACAAAGCAGGCTGTCACACTACCCTTTTAAAGAGCGGTCCTAGCTCTCTTAAAAAGTATCTGACAAAGGAAGGGAAAAAATTCAGTCGTGAACCATAGTTCACGGGTAGAATTGCTAAAAAAAAACCAAAAAATACGCCGAAACTACCGATCGCAAAAAGCATGCGTCGTAGCTTCTAGAAGCGTTCCAAATCCGCCAAAATATCTTCCTTTTCGTCTGAATCAAACCCCCTTAAACCCTTGTTCTCTCGAAAAGAACTCAAGCCTCAAGGCTTAGCTAAAAGGAAGGAGCACCCAGCAATCCAAATTGATTGCACCACAACGAATAGATTAATAAGCTTGCTAATCGAGAGAGCTGTGAGGAGCATGCTAGAAGGTAGGATTTCGATCTTCCAAAAAGCTGAGTCTTTGTTTGATTGTCGAAAGAGTTCTATAGCGCCGAAGGAACCGAAAGCGTATTGCAAGTGCTCGAGATGCAAATGCTTGAGTATTGAGAGGTCGGTTAAATCGCTGGAAGAGAAGGGGGCCCGTGGCCGTGCGAAGGCGGTTTTAAGGAACCGAAAGGGGCCGAAAGGAGCCGAGGGACGAAGAGAATCCGTAGGACGGGCCGGGAGAAAAACCAAAGGGACCGGAAGAACCGAAGAACCGAAGAGCCGAAAAGCCGAAAAACCGAAA